GCAGAAAAAAAAAAAAGAAAGAAAAGTTTTGAGAACTTAATATGCACTAAGGCAGTGTTCTAAGTTTTCCATACATTAGCTAACTCATTTAAAGCTACTACAAATAGTAAATATAAGTCATCTAGTATTATATTTTTATGTAACTGAGGCATTGTCTTGGCTAATATTAATTAAAATATATAGGACCAATTATTTCTATGTAACAATAAATATTACCTTTTCCAAAAGTTTTTTCACATCGTTCATCAAGATCATGGCAATCTCCATTAAAACACATAAATTTCTTGCTTTTGCACAAATGTCCATTATGTATAGTTATATCAGGTTCACACATTGGTGAGGTTCCATTACAAAACTCAGGAATGTCACATTCAGCATGGACACTGGGCCTGCATTCAGTACCTGACTGAGCAATCTAATAGAAATTAGGATATTAAAAAACACAATGCTATATCATAGAAATATCAATATTTACTTGAAACTTATGCTAATCTTATTTATACATTGATGATCTATTTACTAATGTTTATTGAGTACCTCTCTGATTTTGTAAGGCATTATGCCAATTATCCTGAAAAATAAATTTAGTCTTATCAGCCAAAACAACAGATAAGACATGTATACAAAGCAAAGTATTCCACAATTGTCTGTAATGAGCTAGAATTTTGTTTGTTTCTACTGGAATAAAGGAAAGATCATTTTGAGCTTAGGAAAAGTATTCTTTCTGGATAAAAATAGTGTAATTCAATCAATTTTCAAATAAAATATGCCTACTCAAACTACAGTTTTAAATTTTGAACAATCTCAAATCTATGATATATGTCAAATATAACCCCCTGATTATGAAGCACAGAAAAAAGTAAATGGGTGGTTTAAGAGGCAGTTCAACTATAGAAATCTTCAGAGTAAAAGGAAGCCAATTGTAAAGTTTCTTCTAAATCATCATATTAGTATTGAATGTATGCAGAATTCTGGAAATTTACATTGAAAAATTTTACTGGGAATCTATGTAATATTTCTTAATAGGATTCTTCAAGTTGACACAACTTTGCTTGCTAAAATTGAAAGGTGACTTGAAACAATGATGAAAGTGAAAAACTGCAACCATCTGAATATATTACATCTGAATGTGAAGGTAACAAAAATCCTCACAACTGGGCTGATAACATCTTAATAAATGGAGGAAATAATTAAGTCAATTATTTCTACTTTGATCAACAATTAACGCTCATGGAAGCAGCGGTCAAGAAAGCTAACAACATACTGTGTGGCACAAATCTGTGGTAAATGACTAAACGTTTTTAAACCAATGATGTCACTTTAATGGATAAGGTGCACCTGACCCAAGCAATGGTCTTTTCAATCACCTCAAATGCTTGTGAAAATTAGATAAAGAGGAAGGTGGAAGTTATGTACTCATAATTTGGGATAGGTCTGAATTCCGAATAGACTGTGGACTGCCAGAAGAACAAACAAATCTGTCTTAGAAGAATACAATCAAAATATTTCTTAGAAGCTAGGATAGCTAGATTTCTACTCGTTTACTATGGACATGTAATTAGGTAAGAATAATCCCTAGAGAAGGGCATTATGTTTGAAAAGGATAAAACAGAAGGTCAACACAAATAAGGGCAACCCTCTGTGAGAGGAATTAACAGTAGCCCCAATAATGGGCTCAGGTATAACAATGATCATGAAATGGCACGGGGCCAGGTATCATTTCTTAGATGTGTGTGTGTGTGTGTGTGTGTGTGTGTACACTTAACTAAGGTTTGATCCCTGTGGTTTTGCAAAGATGAAACAAGTTGTTGCTCTGCAATGTAATCCAATATACTGCAATAAGTGAAAAGGAGAGTTCTCTGGGGTGTGACCTGCCTTTAAATTATAAATACTTAGGTAAAATGAGTGTATTCTCTTTCTCCAGTCTTGGGGTGCAAAACTAAAAAAAGTCTCCAGCCTGCTACCTGAATTGGGCTGTTGACCACAAGGTCGGTCGTTCATAGTTCAAGACCACCAGCTCTTTTGGAGAAAAATGAGGCTTTCTATTCCTGCAAAGATTTAGTCTCAGAGACTCATAAGGGTAGTTCTACCTTGCCAAATAGGGTAGCTATGAACCAGAATGGACTCAATATCAGTGATTTTTTGCAAACCTTCTACATGGAGTTCTGGTGGGGTAGCGGCTTACATACTGGGCTGCTGCTCCACTGGAGGGAAATTGTGGCTTTTGGCTTCAGTACAAATTTACAGCCTTAGAAACCTACAAGGACTACTCTTGTCTGCCCATGGGGTTACTTGGAGTCAAAATTGACTCAATAGCTGTGAGTTTGGTTTTTCTGGAAGCATCCACCAATCCCATGAGTCAGCAAGTCTCCAGTTTCCAGAGACTCCTCGATGGTGCAATTTACAGCTGGCTGCTAACCCAAAGTTTGGCAGTTCCAAACCACCCGGTATCATTGGGGGGAAAAAAGCCTGGTGATGTACTTCCATTAATATTACAGCCCAGAAAGCTCCATGAAGTAGTTCTACCCTGTCACCTGAAAGGTTGCATGAGTTAGAATTGACTTGGGGGCAACTAACTATAATCATGCAGATACACAGAACACTATATTGCTAACAACACAAGGAAGAAGTACCATTGAGTTGGTTGTGATTCATAGCGACCCTATATGCAATAGAGCAAAATACTGTTCAGCCCTGTGCCATCCTCACAATTGTTATGTTTGAGCGCATTGTTGCACCGACTGTGTCAATCTTCCACTTCTTTGCTGCCCTTCTGCTTTACAAAGCATGATGTCTCTCTCCAGAGAATGGTCTTACAATATGTCCAAATACCTGAGACAAAGTCTCGCCATCCTTGCCTTTAAGGAGCATTCTGGCTGATTTGTTTGTCTGCTTCTATGTTGGTTTGCTTTCAATGTTCTTCACCAGCACCTTGATTCAAACACATTGATTCTTCTTTCATTTCCTGGGTCAATGTCCAGCTTTCACATGCATAGGAGGTGATTGAAAATACCAAGGCTTGGGCGGGGGCGGGGGTGCACAGGAAATTCCTGATATCAAGGGCTCAAGTAGAAAAAAAATGTTTCGAAAATGATGATGGCAACATATGTACAGATGTATCTGACATAATGAATGGATGGATGGATGGTGATAAAGCTGTAAGAGCCCCCAATAAAACTATTTTAAAAAAGAAAATACCAAGGCTTTTTCCAGCCACACCTTAGTCCTCAAAGAAAGCTCCGTTCTTTTCAACACTCTAAAGAGGTCTAGAAACGTAGTGGTTATGCATTGAGCTGTGATCCGCAAGATCAGCAGTTTAAAACACCAGCCGCTCCTCAGAGGACCGGGCTTTTTAATCCTGTAAAGAGTTACAGTGGAGGAAGCGCACAGAGGTATTCTACCCTGCCTGACAGGGTAACTATGAGTTATTGATTCCATGGCCATGAGTTTTGTTTTGTTTTTAAAGAAGCTTATGCAGCAGATCTGCCTAATACAATGTGTCTTTTGATCTCTTGGCTCTCGCTTCTATGAGCACTGTTTGTGGATCCAAGCAATGAGAAATCCTTGACAACTTGAACCTTTACTCCATTTCTTGGTCCAGTTGTGAGGCTTTAGGGTTTTTTGACATTGAACTGATATTCATACTGAAGGCTGCAATTCTTTATCATCAGCAAGTGTTTCAAGCCCTCTTCACTTTCAGCAAACACGGTTGTATCATCTGGATAGCTCAGGTTGTGACTAAGCCTTGTCCAATTCTGATGCTGCATTCTTCTTCAAATAATCCAAATTCTCCATATAGTGCAATGCTATAGCTATGTTTACAACTACCTAATTCCACTATCCATCTCATTGTCCTTTTACCCTCATCAAGGAGCTCTGACAGTGATAGTACTTTACCTGGCATGCTAATTCAAATCTTCCTTACAAAAGAGTTTGAGCTATTAGTCGTTCTATCTGAATTGGCTTATTGTAATTTTTCAGTAACTTTAATCACAACAAGCCATGAGTCTCTGAGGAAGTAGGGTACATCTTGCTCTGCAAAGCAGGTTGTGGGTCCTGGTCCCACCCTTTTGTTTGGCAGCCAGGCACTGGACTGTTACACCATCAGGGTGCAAAATCAGCAAAATCTCCCACACAAAAAAATTATATATACAAGAGGGTACTACTCCCTCTCCCTCGAAAAAATGGGAAAAAGCTCCATGGGCAGAGCTTTTATAATACTTGTTTTTCCCACTAGGTGAGCATCTAATAACTCACTCTGAGTTAGTACACCTAGTGGCATCACCTGGGAAGGTTCTCTCTGGTCACAGTGAATTTTTTTCATAAAAGTAGTTTCACTCAAACCTTGTTTTTTTGTGATGGCTGATTTAAGAGAACAGTGTGTAGCTGTGAAATTTTGTTTCCTGCTCAGGAAAAATGCCACAGAAACTGTTGTGATGTTGATCACAGATTACTAGGACAATGCTAAGGGAAAAACTCAAGTGTATGAGTGATTATCTCATTTCAAAAAATGTGAAATGTTGACTGATGACAAAACCCGTTCTGACGTTTATGAACTTCCCACAAGGATAAAACTGTCAAATAATAGTGCATGTGGAGTTTGTTCCACCAGGTCAGACTGCTAATCAAGCTTTTTGTTTAGAGGTTCAGAAAAGATAGCATAATAGTGTGCAACAAAAATGGCCTGATTTCCACTGGAGATCCCCTTTCAGAGGGGTCTCGGGGAGGAGATGAGCCAGTCAGGGTGCGATGT